ATCCGAACAACACGCTCACCCTGAAGATCAACTCGACGACATGGCAAAATCGATGCGTCAAAGCGAAGGCCGCAAAGGCAGAAATGCTCAAGAAGCTGAAGACTGGCGGAGGGCATGCTGGTGGCCGATGTGGTGGTGGGCATGCTGATTGCGGACATGGTGGAGGTCGTGCTCCGCCGCCCTTGCCGGCCGAGCATATGTCGCCATGGCCGGAGCATTACAAGGCTCCATACTAGTACGCCGCCAAGCAGCTTGGTAGGCAGCCCCTGGCATCCGTGGCCAGGAAAGTTCCCTACATCATCAACGTCAATGTGGAGTCGCTGCTTTTCTCGGAGTGTTCATCGCCGTAGCTTGTCCGGATGCAAGTGCCGGGTGGGAAGCAGTTGGGTGCCTACACATTGTTTGCTGGTCTACCTAAAGTGGGCAAGACGATGTACGACATCACGGACATGGAGATGTTTGACATCATTCCCGAGGGAAGCAGAGGAGGAGGTGGCTATGAGGACGGGCAGGTGGATAACTTGGAGCCCACCCAGTCCGGCAGCTACACCCAGCCAGGCACGCAGCATGGCTACTCCCAGCCATGCACGCATCATGACTACACCTAGTCCGACACCTATACCTAGATGCGCGCAGACACACAACAACATGATTGGGCCAGCGGACAGCAACATGAGGAGGAGGACGACGAGGAAGATGACCCGAATGGTTTCCGTGGTGATCCAAAGAAGAAGGGTAGCAGAGAAAGCTTCAACATGAGGGAGGACGAACAATTGTGTGAGCATGGTTGGCCACTAGCCTCGATCTGATGCATTGCATTGAGAAAAAGTTAGGTCTCGTTTTAATAAAAGAACAATTAAGTTAGTATAGCGAGTGTGGAAAAGTGGTGGTAGGATTTGCGAAATTGTCCTAGGAAATTTATAACTAGATCGATAATCATTATTGCAATTTTATATGAGGGAGAGGCATGAGCTAACATATTTTCCGTACTTGGATCATATGAACTTATGATTGGACCTCTAGCAAGCATTCACAACTACTAGAAATCATTAAGGTAAACCCAACCATAGAATTAAGTAACAAATCCCCTTTACTCCCATACACAATAACCCCCTTATTCAGGTTTAAGTTTCTGTCACTCTCGCAACCCACTATGAGCAAATCATGAACGTATTGAAACACCCTACAACTGGAATTCCCACGCGTGTGTGCGTGCTACTTGTGAGCTGCATTGGGATTTTCCCCAAAGAGGAGAGGAGATGCAGTATAGTAGAGATAAGTATTTCCCTCAGTGAGAACCAAGGTTTATCGAACCAATAGGATAGTCACGCAAAGCCTCATGAACAGCACATGCACACACAAAAGCAAATACTTGCACCCAACACGAGCAAGAGGGTTGTCAATCCCCTTGAACTCGTTAATTGCAAGGATCAAATCTTGTATAGCTAGGTAGATGGATAAATTGTAAAGTAAAATAAAAGAAGTAAAATTGTAGCAAAGGTATTTTGGATTTTATAATATGATACAAGTGGACGCGGGGGCCATAGTTTTCACTCGAAGATTCTATCTTGAACGCATAGCAAACTGTGGGCGGACAAATTACTGTTGGGCAATTGATCTAAAAGCACATAGGTATGACATATTCACGACAATGATCATGTATATAGGTATCACATCCAAGACAAGTAGACCGACTCCTGCCTGCATCTACTACTATTACTCCACCA